ACGTTATCGCGGCATGTTAACAGACCTTTTGTAGCCACAATTGGATCGTTCTGGTGCCGACGATCTTTGGTTTCATCAAGACGGAGCAACGGCTCACGCATCTCGCCAAATAATCGCCTTATTGCACACGACCGCGCAATATTCGGACTGAAATTGCAGCCATAGACCCGATTATTCTGGGAAAATTCATTAAAAATTTTGATATTCGGATGTTAACCTGTAAACGAAGACACGGTGGTCGCATGACTGATGTTATTTTTCATACATAAGTGACATAAACCAACCTTCATTTATCATTAAAAAAATTCGATTTCACCTCATAAAAAGCGTGTTGTTTTTCCAAATAGAAAAAAATAATAGATGACGCACCCTGTATGTAGCATAAATTCAACAAACGATTCTTTGAGTAATTTTAAGGCTAAATATAATCATATAAACATAGGTCCTCAAGTTCTTCGTTCTCAAGGTACAGGGTGTTAAGATTTAAAAAAAAGGTTTTTCGTAATTCGTCTAAATATACTCTACCTAATTTTGTAGCCATTCAGCAGTGATATTTATATCATTCAGGAGTTAAGCCCTAACTTGATCAAATTTATTAAAAATTTACGTCACTGATGTTTGTGCAATTTTTATTGTTCCTTGGACTAAGCAAATCGAAGTACAACTTTTTTATCTCTAGAATTTTTTTTGTATTTTGTTTAGCTTTCGAGTTAAAACAGTCCACTTAATTGCATATCCATGGACCACCCAAGGAATATGGAGGAAAGTGTCTTTTGGAAATTCTTATTTTCTTATAATGTATTATTACCAATTATGTAAAAACAAGTACTAAACAATATTAACATCCAGACTAACAAATTTCACTAAATTGAGTGTTGGAAATGATTCCCTTTGACATCAATATTTTTAGTAATATCACATGAATAAATAGTTCCATTCCCCGAATCCTTTTCACTTTCAATAGGAGATTTATATGCCAACACTATAAGGTCTCCCTAGAGAAAATAATTTAAAGGATTCATACCGAGCCAGCGAGGGGGTCATAGATATGAGCCTACACTCCCAAACCAGCGACTATGGTAATTTCCATCCAAGAATGGCCACGCCGCTACATAAAGTGTGGAAGAGCCCCGTCGTGCATGTACCCTATACAGAATCCTTCCGTGACTGGAACTTATTCTAAAAGTCCAAGCAGAATGAATACTAAAAACCTTCTGTATTGTTCTCCATTAATTCTAAGCTCAATGAGATGGTCACCGACAATTCCAACCCAAATATTAAAACAAAACTGTTCTTGATAATTATGTGCTATTAAGGCGTATCGATTGTTTTCGGTTCAAATCTGACTGTTCTGGAAGTTAGTAACTGAATTGCGAGATAAACAAGCTTCGACTGCAAACAATATTTATTATTTTAATGCGTAACCAATCAGAAAAAGCTAGTCTTGAAGGTAAATCTCTGGCAATAGATCCTGCACTCGCTGCATACGATATGGATATAGCTGCTGGTCTCTTAAAATCTACCACACTGTGACATGGCTAATGCATATCTGCCATTTCACTTTTTTACGAAAATGATAAATTAATAGCTTATAAATACTAAGTTGACGACTATCAAGTTGTTTACTAAATGCTGTAATCGTTTTCGTTTATTATTTACTATTGCTTAGTTTAGTAAAATTCATTAGCGTAGACGTTAATGTCACGTAATTTAATTCAGTGTTTATTTGCTATTGTTACATAACAAGTAATAAAAAAAATATAAAAAAAACAATTTCCAAAAGAGATGTTTCCCCATGTTTCTTGTGTGGTTCAAGGATATGCAATTAAAAGCTCAGCTACATATGAAAAAGATTCAAGAGGCAAAAAAGTTGTATTTCTATTTGCTTAATCCAAGGAACAATAAAATTGCACAAAAATTAGTGGCGCACATTTTTTTGTCACAAATATTCGTTCAGATCCCGCTCGAGACGCACTGGACTTAAATAAATTTAATCAAGTTAGTCATAAATGAGCTCCTTATGGTTATAAATGCCAAATTACAATAGAAATAGGTAAAAGACATTTACGAAAAACCATTTTTTTTAATTTTAACACTCTGTGTCTTAAGAACGAATAATTTGCAGAGCTATGTTTATATTATGAACTGTTTGTCCTAAAATACCTCCAAGTATCGTATGTTGAATTTATGGTGCATACTTAATCAACATAAAATTGACCTGTCCCACATAAAGGTAGGAAATAAACGGCTCAAGCATAGAGGAGGTAGTGTAGAATGCATAAAAAGGAAGTTGTTTAGTATTGTGAAAACGCCAATCGGTTGAAATTCTTCAAGAATTGCCAAGCGTAAACTATTTAATTATTACAGGGGGTATTTTAACTTCTCTCTGTTTCATAACTCATAGCAACATTTTTACAGATCGCTTTTCCCTTAAAGTGTTATGCAGTACGCACTAACAATTTGAATCTAGTTTCTATGAACGCGGTAATTGATCAGACAAAAAGAGAGAGAGAAAGTAGAGAGACAATGCAACAATAAAAGAGACGATGAGCTGAATTATCAAACTCAAAGCTGCTACAACATCGGTTAGATCAGAAAAATGCTCATTGACTGTAAGACCTTATGAGACATCGAAAACTACGACATTCTTGGGAATAGAAATAGATGCAAAGCTCAGTTGGCAACAACACATGTACAGTGTGTGTAAAAAGTTGAACCAATCATAGTATGCGATTCTTAAGCTCAAGTTTTTCTTATCATCATGACTCTAACAAGCATTCATATTTATAAGTCCGCCCTTTTCACACCTACAAACAAAACAAAATTTATACAGAACAAAAACATCAACACACATTATAATACAAGGGCAGGTGAGAGTCTGAGTATTCCAAAACACACACTGACGCTGTTCAAAAAGTCACCGGAATACACCTGCATCGGAATATATAACAAACTTTCAACTAACCTCAGGAATGTCAGTAGTATTGCTAGTTTCAAATGTAAGCTACGAAAATTATTAGTTCTAAAATGTTTCTACTCTTTGTCTGAATACCTCGCACTGTGATATATTTTTTAAACTTTTTTTATATCTATCTATGTTAAGGATTCGTAACCCTAGAGAAGTATCTCTAGCAGTGATACTTTCGATAAATTTGTAGCTTTATTACCAGAACTCTAAAATCCGTTTGACGGCTAAGTTTGATCTTGACTTCCAGTTAGTAAATAATTTGTTAAATATCACTTCAAGAGTAGGTATAACAAAAAAAAGGTCAATAACGTTGCCCGTGAATATAGTAAATGACCCCACAAGTATACTTAAAACATGAGCAGGCAATCAAAAGAAACATAGAAAGAAAGGAGGCTTCAATACAAAAGGAAAAAACCGACGGCGGCGTTCGTCAAAAATCCAATCCTCGCCGAAACTAGCATGCGAGCCTCTCCATGTTATTAGGCATCATTAATCAAGTGTTGGTCAGGAAACGAGTGAACCCTTCGGTCCTTACAGGCTGGCAGACGGCACTTTACATACTTACGCCGAGCGTCCGAGTCTCGGACCCAACGTTGTGGTCAAAGTCTCAAGACACATGGTCGGTCTTTTAGCGCTTTAATGTGTTAAAGATGTGGAAGGATTGCATCCGCGGCATGGTCAACTGAACAATAAAGGATACGCAGTTGGTATTTACGACTGTGGACCAAACTGCGGCGTTATGGTTATACAAATCATTTGAAATGCCGCTGTTTTCCTTGCCTGGGAACATATTGTGTATTAAGCTGCCACAAGTCCCACTTAGAGAACAAATAAAAGGCTTGACGTGATAAGGTACCTAAGCCACATTGATTTAATTTCGACACATCATAAGGTATGTTATACGTGAGACTAATATCACGTTGTTTGTTCCATTCCTATTGAACTGTTACAATGGGTTTACATTTAGGGATATTGATGACGACGCTATCTAAAAATATGACCGAACAATTACGTTGAAATAAATAAAAATACTGTCGAAAGGTGCCTTATTACGAGAAAAATTTGTATTCTAATGCGTCCGATGTCAGAATTGAAATAGCGCACTCCATCGGAGTTAACGGATTCTTTATCTCTAGCAAAGTTCTTTTCCAAGCCAGATCTGGATCCAAATACGTAAAAGTTGTGTTGTTCCATTAGGAATGCCAGAGGTACTTAGCGGAAAGTCGCCTATATCGTACTGGCTCCTTAATCGTACCTTGTCGATATTTCAGATATTACGCTTATGTGTAAAACCTAAATTAGAAACCCTAAAGTTGGCAATCAGTAATACCAGCAAAAGTTTGTCAGTAGCGCGTATCGCTCCCGACATATTTAACGTTTTATTTTGTGCCGAAAAGTGATATAAAGTTTGGTTGATCTACTGTAAGTAGTTTTGGATATTTTAGTTGACTAAGCCTAAAATCTATTGTATGCCTTTAAGATTAACAACTTTTATACACTTTTTGATAACTTTAAACATAACCTTATTTCTATAATTTCCAGAAAAAAAAACTTTATCTTTATTTATTTGGTGTAAAGTTGCCTTGATCGAACCATTAGAGATTGCCTAAATCGTCTCGGTACGATTAAGGCAATTTATACTGGTACGATTACGGAAGCTATGTAGTAACAGTTTTTTTACTTTTTTGTGAATAGAGAAAGTACGGACAGTGGCCTGAATCGAACATAAAAGCAGCCTTAAATGTTTTTCGTGAGGGAAACATAGGTTTTAGAGGTTTGTCGCCAATACAATATCCCAAAGCCAACATTTAGGAGGCATTTAAAGTCGTATAATGTTAGAGCCAATGAATCAAAAAAAATAATAGGTCGATCCTGTACTTTTTCTGCGGAGATGGAGGAAGACTTGGAAAAGCATATTTTAACATTAGAGTAATTTTTTTTTTTTGGAGTGACTATTCGAGAAGTAAGAAATGCTGCCTTTAAATTCGCTAAACGCAATGGTCATAAACATAATTTTAATAAAATCACAAGGATGGCTGGAAAAAAATGGTTTGATAGCTTTATGAGTCGCCATCCACAACTTTCCTTGAGACAACCAGAATCAACTTCGATGATACGGTGTAAAGGTTTCAACAGAAGCAATGTTCAGGAGTTTTTCAATATTTTAGAAAAACTTGTTCAAGATCATGCTTTGACTGCTACAAAAATATACAATGTCGACGAAACGGGTTTTTCTACCGTACAAAAAAGATGTCAGGAAGTGCTGGCTAAAAAAGGAAAATTCCAGGTTGGTGTCGTAGCTAGCGGCGAAAGAGGTGTGAATACTACATTCGTATGCTGCGCAAGTGCTGCAGGTCAATACCTGGCACCAATGGTAATTTTCAAGAGGAAAATGATGGCGCCAGAGCTGGCAGATGAAGCTCCCCCAGGATCACTGGTCGAAATATCGGATACTGGTTACATTAACGCCGATTTGTCTGTTACTTGGTTAAAACATTCCATTGCTGAAGTTAAACCTTCAAAAGAGGAATTGATTTTAGAGAAATTCGAGAAATTTAGCAGCCATTGAGATGGCCGGCGAGAATGGTGTTATTATTTTACAGCTGCCAGGTCATACCACCCACCGTTTACAACCACTTGATGTGGCAGTATTTAAGCCATACCAGGTCTGTTATGACCAATCGGTTGAAAAATGCTTGAGAGAACATCCCGGGAGAACAATCGGTCAATTTCAGGTAGCCCGATTAATCGGAGAAGAATAAGGAAAAGTACCATGTGTCGCAAATTCCATCAGTGGATTTAAAAAATGTGGTATATGGCATGTGGATAGAAACGTTTTCAGAGATGTTGAATTTGATGGCGGCGATGTTCTTCAAACTGAACCAAAACAAAAAGCACTAGCGGAAAGCAAGGACGCTGACGATACACCTTCGAGTGATGATAATGTGCCTTTGGCGCTTTTAGTTGAAAAACAGAAATCGTGCGCCACCTCTGAAACTCAACCACCCGATCTTTCTGTCGAAGACATTCTAACAATTCCAAATAGTCCTGGCAATCAGAAAAATGCAAGTAAACGTGCACAAGCGGCAAAAGTTTTAACTTCAACCCCACATAAGGAGGGATTAAAAGCAAAGCAATCTACTATCGAAGAAAAGAAAAAGAGACTGGCAAAAAGACAAATAGGAATAGCCAATGGCCAACCGCAAAAAAAAGTAAAAAGGAAAAACGCTTCGTATGGTTCAAATGACGTAGTGGTAGAAATAGTAGAGGATGAGTGGCTTTGTGTTATATGTAATGGGTGTCGAGCAGAAAATATGATACAGTGTTCCTTGTGCAAGCTTTGGGTCCATGAACTTTGTGTGAGTTATGTTTTTTTTTTTGTAATACCCATCTACACACGAGCATATTAAAATTTGTATTCTTGTTTAAATTGTTGATCAGTTTGTAGCCAAATATTATTGAGGCACAGTACATACGTTGGTTCAAAGTTAACATGTCTAAGCGTTTACATAGTTCCTCATTACTTGTATCTCTCTCTGCATATGTCCCATCAATCTTAAACAGAACAAACCTCATAAACTTCCCTCGTACTCTTTCAATAGCCGTGCTGTAGCATTCATAGTAAGGACTCCAGATAATACTACAATATGCGACTTTGGATCTAACATAAGCACAGCTTAATGGACTTTTGTTATGAAAATTCCTGCAATTCATTACTATTAAACCTGAAGCCGCCAATGCTTCTGATGCTTTTTTATTTATATGCTGACTAAAAGTTAACTTTTGATCATAGATTATACCTAAATCAGGAGCACCTTTCTAGCACAGACCCATCAACAGAATACGGATATTCGCAAACAGTCATTTTCCTGGTCAAATCACTGTTTTACTCTTCCTGAATAAAAACTTCCAGTTCGCAAACAGATAAAAGGAGATTGAAGTGTCTATCTCCCTCCTCTTAATTTATACCAATCACAAACGCGCAATTTTGGATTACAAATGGTTTCTAGATGGAAAAGTTACAGCAGCTCATGGCCTCATAGGACACCAGAAAACGAGGCTAAACAATTTTTCTGATTATATTGTCAATAAGTTTTGTAATATTGCTTTTAGACAGTGATTTTAAACAGTTAGCTCATGTGGTGAAAATGAATCGCTTTGGAAGTGATTTTTTGACTAATATTGATCTGGCGATTGCGAAAGGTACAATACCGTTAAAACCCATACGTCAATATGGAAATAATAATGATAAAAATAATAATCTGTTACTTATGAAATAGTCTTGTCAATTACCATTCGGGCATATATTTTTTTTTCTGTGAACAAAATGGTGCCCTTATGATAAGATGTAAGTACACCAAATTAGTGAGAATATATCTAACAGTATTCGCCTTCCATAAATCCATGAATCTGGAAAATGCCTCCCGTCAATTTAGAAAAGCAAATGTGTATTCAAATTAACTTCTTGCAAACAGATGTTAACGTAGCGATCGCCAAAATCCAGTGGCCATCCCCCGCACAGCAGAAAACAGAAAGTCACGTCGTCGTTCGCACCACAACCAGACACTCGGACTTTAAAAAATAATCTATCATCGGTGCTTTGGAGCTTCGGTCTGTCGGTCCGTGCGTCCGCGTGCAACCCATTCACTGCAACCACCCAGAAGCAAAAGTCATCAGCGACAATGAAGTTCCGTCCAGCCGAAACAAGTCCCCGAAACGAACGAGGGGGGCTGGAACTATTGGGATCATTAACATAAAATCATTCAGAAAGCTGGACCCTTTCTATGCTAAGAAACTAGCAAGGGCGTTTGGAGGAACCAAATTATTTTTGACTCAAATAATTCTGAACACCCAAAATACTAAACAGATACACTAAAAGGGTTTGTTTTAGGCCAACAACACCTCAAGCGGGAAGTGTGGCAACTAGTTTTGAATTCCAAAGTAGTTTATAATGGGTGATTGTTTTACTAGTACCTTTTTGGCAACACTGTTTTTGACAGATGACGCGTGAATCGTGTCTTGTGTCATTGTCAAACTTGTTCAGTTTGGTCTATAATTTAACCATGAGTCGACTTACGAACGAACAACGCTTGCAAATTATTGAATTTTACTATCAAAATTCATGCTCGGTTAAGAGAGTGCATCGAGCACTGCTTCCAATTTATGGGCAATTTGGTCGGCCTACTGAGGGAGCTATTCGGAAGCTTGTGACTAAATTTCGAACCCAGTTTACATTATTGGACATTAAACCACCAACACGCAGACGTAGAGTGAGGACTGAAGAAAATATTGCGGCTGTATCCTCCAGTGTTAGTGATGACCGTGAAATGTCGATTCGCCGCCGTTCGCAGCAATTGGGCCTCTGTTACTCCACTAAGTGGAAAATTTTGCGACAGGATTTGGGTGTAAAACCTTATAAGATACAGCTGGTGCAAGAATTGAAGCCACACGACCTTCCGCAACGTTTCCCATTTGGTGAATGGGCGCTGGCAAAGTTGGAGGAAGATCCACATTTTTATCGAAAAATTGTGTTCAGCGACGAAGCTCATTTCTGGTTGAATGGGTACGTTAACAAGCTAAATTGCTGCATCTGGAGTGAAGACCAGCCAGAAGCATTGCAAGAGCTACCAATGCATCCCGAAAAAATCACTGTTTGGTGTGGATTATAGGCCGGTGGCATCATCGGGTCGTACTTCTTCAAAGACGACAATGGCCGGAACGTAACTGGGAATGGCGAGCGCTACGGTGCGATGATAACAAACTTTTTTTTGCCCAGAATGGAAGAACTGGACTTGGCTGACATGTGGTTTCAACAAGACGGTGCCACATGCCACACCGCACGCGAAACAATGGCCCTATTGAGAGGCGAGTTCGGTGAACAGTTTATCTCACGTTTGGGGCCCGTCAATTGGCCGCCTAGATCGTGTGATTTAACGCCGTTGGACTATTTCTTATGGGGCCATGTTAAGGCTAATGTCTACAGGGATAAACCAGCAACGATTGACGCACTGGAAGCCAATATTGAAGCATTTATTCGTGAGATACCGGCCGATATGTTGAAGAGAGTGTGCCAAAATTGGACCTTGCGCATGGGCCATCTGAAGCGTAGCCGCGGCCAACATTTACATGAAATAATCTTTAAACATTAAATTATATCGACCGTTCTATCAACTCAAATAAAAATTTAATCGTTTTTTCAAATTTTTTGTGTTTTTTTTAACATCAAATCCTATACCTCTTAAAAAATCACTCGTTATAAAATCTTAGAGCTCGAAAATGGGGTTTCGTACGGAGATCGGCCCTGGATCCGGCATTATTCCTCTCACATATTAACGATGTCCTTCGCTGTACGGTCAATCCAATCCACAGCGTCCTTGATGACAGCACTCTACATGCAAGAATCCAGAGTGAGTGACAAGCCTATTTCTGCCGGTGAGCTTGAAAAATGAAGACTAGCAGCGACTTTCTTTCTGACGGGGAGGAAGTTATGACTGCCTGGGGACGCAGAAATCTTGTACAGTTTAATGCTTCCAAGACACAGTACTGTACCTTGACCAATAAGAAGCGTCCTAGCATTCTGTGTCAACAAGCTTTAAGAGCTTTTAAGAGCTGTTTTTCAAAAGCCACCAAAATTGTTTACTTCCCACACCAATTGGCTAGTTTCATACGCTTAAGACCAATAGGACTAATTTAAATATGTTAGTCGCGCCCACCAAAAAAGAAACCTGCCGCGAACTGGCTTCTGCCTCTAGCCAGGGTCTTCTTTCCCAATAATTGTGATCGCAACGCAATGTTGTCAGATGGCCCGTAGGGCTTCGTCAGATAATCGATCGGATCAGCCCATTTAACTGACATGAATCATTTACTTCTTTGTTGTAAGTTTTTTTCTAATAGGCACAACCCGTGCAAACAGAGCCTTTTATGAACTCATCCCAGCATAGAGGAATAAATGTCTAGAGACAGCTTACTAGACGCCATTACTTGTAACAGCTGATGGATTAATCTTATCTAACGGATATTCTCAGGAACCTTTCACACTTTCGCGACAAGATGTAAGCGATCACTTATGTCAAGGGGCTTTGATCCAGAGCAGTTCTACCAACATTTAGGCTTCTGTCTACACGGTTGGTTCGATGTAAAAAAAACAGAAAGATTTCAGTCTCCCAAAAGTTACAAGATGCTCCAAGTTAGTCAGAAATCAGAAAAATGTAGAAAAACATGTTAATCACTACTAAAAAATTATAACAATAACAATAATAAGCGTTTATTGCCCAACAGTTTAACACCATTTGCAGAGCAATCTGCTTAAAATAAGAAATCACGATGAGGTGAAAAAATATACAGCTATAACTAAACAGTAAGAGAGGTCAGAAGAATCACAAATGAGCTCGCAGCTTACACTTCAGTACACCTAAGCTACAAAAAAATTTGTCGCTTACGTCGGCTATTTTATTAGCATTCACACACATCATGTTAATAAGTGTTTTTGACAGTAAATTCATTTGTGCTCTTTGGCATAAGAAAGAAGCATTGTATCTTGAAGCTATTCGTGGTACCAGAAATTATATTTGAGAAAGTATCGAAGGACATTCTATTAGACTATGCAACAATTTGTATAAAATTATAACTGCCGATTGTTTACGACGCTATTCTAAGGACTGAAAGCCAAATTTATAGAGGAGAATATTGTATTCTGTACTTCTAGTAGGAGACATGCCATCGATCCTAAAACATAAAAAGCCGTAGGTTCGATAAGCGCTTGTGATAGTTTGAATAATATGTTCATTAAAGGTTAATTGTTGACCAAATTATGCGAGTTCTTGGTTCTATCTGGTTGGGAATATTTTCTAAACTACGTTTTGAGGGACCCGAAAGAAGTTGAAATTTAAGGACTTATAGGAATACTTCTAAAAAGTTGTCGCTGATGACAATTTAAGAGCCCAAAGGACATTTAGGCTTTCATATTGTGGCTCTTTACGTTATGCGAGCAGTGTTTTAGTGTTTTTAACGCTTGGTTACAGGGAATGTGGAAGATACTAGAAGTACTATGATTCTCAAGAATCATGTTTCGTCCCCAGATCCCCCTCGTTCTATGGGCCCCTAAATCACCTCGGACCTGAATATTTTAATATACATATATTCTTTATATCACTCCACAAGCCCTCTATACATTCACGGATTGTTTTTCAAAATTCCTAATTGAGGTAAATCGCATAACAAAAAGCGCTGGAAGATTTTTTCATTTTTTAACGACTTATGCTTCTTTCAAACCACCCGGCTGACAAATGCTTGATGTATCCTGACGTATCGCGAACTCTAAAGAAGCAGATATCGGAGAACTGGAACAATGGAATGCTTTCACTTCTCACGTATTGTAATTGCGAAAAATTTCGAAAACATGCGACGGAGGTATGCGCAAAGAGCGAATGCTCAAACTTCGTTTTTTGAAGTTTCAGGGACTCCTGTACATTTCTGAAAATCTTTTTGAGGGGTAAAAATTGGGAGTGGAGGGTTGCAAGGGTGGGAGAGTATATTTAAATGTTTTGGCGGCCATTCTCTTAGAGATACTTCAAACATAGATTTTGCCGAATATTTAAGACAGAATGAAATATTTTCGATACTGTGTCGAGTGCATCGAAAACAAGAGGTACCTGTCTCAAGCTAGCTGTTGCCGTTGGTTGTTTAGTCAATGCAACTCTGATCGCAACGTTGTCAAATGGACAGTAGGACACAAGAGACAAGTTGCCAGATATCAATTCCATCGTCATTCATGTCCTGGGATAGGCTAACTTGTGTCGAACACAATGATTTATGAACGATGACAGTGATGGGTGGAAAATGTAGAGTCAACTTCTTGACGCGATTTCTCAAGTCCACACCAGATATATTGTCTAATCTAATACCTCCTTAGGGTAAGTATACTTCAAAGATGAATTATCGATACTGATGTGTCAACATATACGAGGAGCTCCAGTATCATATTTAATTCAATAATGGCAGGTTATGTTCTTCTACTTTATTTGATCAGAGACATGATAAGTGACTAGTTAATTTTTTAAGACGATCGAAGTTCTAGTCATGCTTATAAAGTTTCTCGAGGTTGATATTTATATTGGAACAAAAAGAAGAGTCACAAAATGTGATATAGAGGTACAGGTTTTGGGTCTTTAGATTTTAAGATCGAAAAATACTTTTATAGCCATTTTCAACAGACAATAAAGCACTAAAAGTAATTTATTTCATCATCTCCTTGGTTACCTGCAACAAGTCCCACAATTCTAGAGCTTTCCTCATTTCATCTAGATGGGTAGCCTCTTGTTTCAGTTGATACTAGACGGTCTTCTTGAGCCTGGCATGAAAATGAATCTGTTTGTGCAACTTGAATCTACATTATGCATCAATTACGAAAATGCTTTCCTGTATTGCACTTTCCGTAATAGACAGGTATGGACGGTAATTGTAGGTTGATGTTACCTACTTCTGTGTGTCACAATTATCAACCGTCAATACTAAACAAAGTTATCAACACATTTAATGCAGATTGTGAAGGCTAAATGACATTTTAACTTACTTAACCATAATTACATGTAACTTAACCATAATTGCACCAGTTCATTGGTATACTAATTCCATAATTATTCAACTGCAAATGATACAGATTGACCTAATGAATCCAATTTGAAATAAAATACAACCAATTGATCAAAAATTTGCCAACGGTCAAAATGTAAGCACAACCGCTTCTGTTTTCTAGTACAATGTTAATACAAACTGAGCTTTGTTTAATGAAAGAAGATGTTAGTGACGTCACGTATGTAATAGCGGCTATAAACCATGATTAAAACTGCAAAAAATCCTCAAGTACGCAAAAAAACTAAGATCTATTAGCAGAACACACCTATTTGACATCAACAATTTCTTTACGAATTTATTCGGATGGATTTCTTCAAGGTCATCCTAATTATGTTTTGCGGCGTTACCACAGTGCTGCCAACTACAGAACAAAATCTTGCTAGAAACATTTTGGGATTTTATATGTATTGTGGTTTTGATTTTGAGGTGAATATTATAAATAGAAACCATATTGCGGAATCCCGCCGATTTATCAAACTTTTATTCTCGAAATGAAAAGTTGTTCAATATAATGGAAAGTAAAACAAGGTTGGCACCATGAAATTTGACATCCAGCATGCAAAAATTGGAATGAGCTACGATCAACTTCATGGATTTATTTGACATCAAATTCATGTTTTATACTTTTGAAATTTGGCATTGAACTCAATCCACGAAAGAATACGTGGATACGTGTCAACGTAAAATGAGTATAAGATAGTCACATTATTCTTTACATATATTTTGACAAGCACGATTTGGTCCTTCGAACCGGATAATTACGCCGATCTAGGGAATTTGTCTATCAAAATTCTTATTACTACATATCTTCAAAAAATATGTCGATATGAGGCCATTGAATGGTGGCAGCCCGTCATTCGTGTAGATGTCCGTGTGGTAACATTTCCATGGAGCGCGTATAATTTTTACCTGGCGTAATTCCCCGACAGGTCGTCACGCTAGGCGCAGCGTTGAATCCGCCCCCAAAACGTCGTAGGCCGGCCCTCGCCGTTTTGTGATTGGCCGACGCTGCGGCCACGTGACGCACTCCTATCCGGCTTGAATGAGAAAGAAACAAAAACAACCGTCACTGTTAGTAACGGCGCTCGCGGAACCAACAATCGTGTACGCCGCCGGTGTCTGAGTGCCGCGTTTTCTCAGTGGACGACGTCTCCGTGACCTAGTGGTGATGATCATGGTGTGCCGCGGCCGATGAGGCCCAAGTCGCGGATGCCTGCCACGGGGCCAAGGCTGGAAACCTCCCAGGACGAGTTCGCGACAGCCGCCAAGACGAGGGCTAGCACCCCAGAAGGGGCCGGTGGGCCCTTCTGGGTCCAGACCCCACCTGTACATCATCCCATGGAGGCTGCCGGTGAAACTGGCTTCATCAGCAGCCAGCCCTCCATGGCGGAGTTCATGACAGCCCTTCCGCATCTGGGGACCAACGAACTAACACATGGTCCCCAGATCAGCCCGCAACATACGCCTCCAGGTGGTTTCCCTATGGATGTGCCTCATGGAATGAACTCTCCTGGTGTCAATGTTCCTGAGTATCCCTGGATGAAGGAGAAGAAGACAACGCGGAAGAACAGCCAACAAGGTACAGTGAAAATAAGATTGCCTTTCTTACCCCTGGACCTCTAATCCTTATATGACGTCTAAGGACATGTAAAATGATATTGGGTCAAAAGGGGCAAACGCGAATGGACCATCGTAATCAGACTATATCATGAAATCTCACGAACTCTTCTTTGTGACGATAGCTCTGAAATACTGTTGGTAATATAATGATAATATTATATATAAATATATGGAGCATGGCTATCATGAATTGTATTGCCACAGAGAACAATGGCCGTTACCTGTCACCCATGGGGGCTGTCGGTGATACTTCATCAATAGTCAGCACTCCAAGGCGGTATTTATGCTACATCTTCTGCATCTGGAGACCAGCAAACTAGCCCAGCGTCTCCAGATTTTCTCCCAAGTTACGTCATTGTTCCTCAGAATTCGTGAATAAACGAAAAGAAGACAACCCTGAGGAGCAGCCGACGAGGCACTGTAAAACTAACATTGCTTTTCTTTCTTTCATATCTCTAATCGTGATATGACTACATTATCGGACGTAACATATATAAACATTCTTGATCAAGTGCGCCAATGGATTAATCAAATAGGATCAAGAGGTTTCGTCGATGCTTCCTGTATCACGACTATTCGGATGCCCAAAGCATCATCTCGAAGCTGCTTGGTAATATTACCGGGCAAAGCAGTGACCGGAATTTTTCTCAGGATGGGCCGTCTATCGGCAAGAGATAGCTTTTTGTTAAGGAAAACGAAGGGTGGTAGCAAATTCTACTGAAGGAGAGGGGGAGAAGCTAGCAATCTTCAAAAATGTACACAAGATCACGCTAAATATGCACATTTAACGGTCTCCTTTCGGGCATCCCATGGAGGCTCCTCGGGAAGCCTGGCTTCATCGTCATCGGCAGCCAGCACCTTCATGGCGGCGTTCGTGTCACCTCTTTCGCATCTTGGGACCACTGAACTAGCTCGTGGTCATAAGTCTGCAACATACAACTCCTCATTGTCTTCCTTCTCCTCATATCCCCAATCCTGATATCACTTGACAGCAATAAAGAACCTACAAGGATATTGGATTATAAGGGACAAACATAAATCTAGTGTCGACCTGATAAGGCCTTCTCTGGCCATAACTCTGGAATGTCCTCGGTAATAAGATGAATCTTTTCCGTACCCTGATTTTTTCTTATGGAGGCTGCTGGTAAAATTGGCTAGATCAGCAGCCAGCTCTCCACGGTTAGGTTCATGACAGCCCTTCAGCATCAGGGGACCAACGAACTAGCTGATGGTCCTCACGTCACTCCTCAACCTTCCCCGTCAGGTGGAATCCTAATGGATGTACCATATATGATGCCAGTATTGTTCCAAATTATTCGTTGATAAAAAAAAAGTGGAAAACGCGAAAAAGCAACCGCAAGTTGTCGTGAAAAGAAGAGAGAAGGTTTACCAGTTCTTCTTTGTATATGAACTATTCGGTTTCTTATTCTGGTTGTCATTTAACGTAGGATATCCAGAGCATCTTCTCGAAACTTTCCTTGCTGATATGATAAACGTTGTCTGCTTTACCTTTGGAAGCAAGTTTATCATGGAAAGATGACATCTCCTGCCCGTCTGCGGATCAACGAATTAGCTCATGGTCCACAAGTGATTGTGGCTTTCCTATGGATATAGATTTGAAATAAGGGCAACAAACAACGTTCGGCGAAACTAAGCTTGCGTTTCTTCCGACTTAAGCACATGCTTCCTTGAGTATGCAACTATGGGGCAACTTCATGCATTAACAAGAGATCATGAGGAAATGCACGTAAGCCGCTAAAATATCTCTTGCACTGTAGTCTCCAAAAGGTTTTCCCAAGAAGGGGAGCAATGAATAATATGTTTTATTACTGATTACGAAAACATCTTATTGCTTCAGGGAAAGAGGCACATGTAACAGTGTGAATTCAGTTTTTTATGTCTTTCATTTGGTCATATACTTCCAGTTTAAGTCTACGAGAAATATGTTAGTTATTTATTCATGGTAAGATTTCTATGGCAAGTACTATTGAAATTGCTTCAGAAATATGACCAGGCTTCCTAACGACTCTTGCTTGCAGATTTTTTCTCTCAGGAAGTTAGTCTTTTGATCAGTATCACTTTTTAGCGCCGTACAGGCCGATTTTACTATCAATATTTTCAGGCGATGTGTGACAAAGAGGGATAATTTCAAAGACAACTTCAATTGGTTGAAGGAGACAAAATATCTGGTCAAATGAGTTTCGTGCTCCATAACATTGAAGCTCTTAATATACGATTTTTCTTATAGCATAAAAAATAAATCTGAGAATTTGCTAGAGATACAAACGTAAGTAAGAAGCAGGTAGAATCAACAGCACGGAAAGAACAAGAAACAATTTCGGGCTTCATTACGCTCAAAATATTTTCGAGTAAAATTTTTGTGCAATGCTTGCCAGGATCTACAATAACTACAACAGTCCTGTTTGTAACATGGAAGTGGTCTTTAAGGAGTATACTAGTATCTCTTGAAAGTTCCAAAGTCAAACGTGCCCACCATCCTCCACCATCTTTACGTAACTGAGGCCTATTTAGTTTTTTCCAGTTATCAAACTGCCATTGACCGTTTCAAAGTTTGCATGTGCCTAACAATCATTAATTACCGAGTTTATTTATAGTAATTCCACAATGTTGCATGTTGCGTCTTCCATACAACATACAATTACGATTTTCTCAGAAAGAATGTAATGAATATACATTATTCATTACATCAACTTCATTTCCACGTTATATCGTTAGAAAAAATCTTCACTTCTGCTACACAGCTGACTTGAAAAACTGGATTTTACATCCGACCTATTCAATAGTTTCGCAGATAAATGTACACGCTCTGATAGTAACGGTCCGCAATAACATCTGGAATAAGGTTTGCTTCAGAACATGATTGATTACTTCCTATATCTGTCCATTTCCACGTTGCAACTGCTTGATTCAGGATAGTGTAAGGTAGCCAAAAGTAGGCAGTACGTTCGAAAAGCATCTTCCGTTTCCCGAAACTGCTTTGACTAATACATAATTTTCTCGAAGATCGGCGGTAGTAGACTAAGTGCTAAGCGTAATGCGGGTATCTGCAATTTTCTGGCATATTTTTTATAACGAAGCAGTCTCATAGGCAGAAGCCTAAACACTAGGCCACCGCGAATAATTTTCTTAAAATGCCTCATATTTATTTGACGTATCCGTACAAGTGTCATATCTTACTGAGGTAAATAAGTGTTCGCAATAATAGGAATAGGTGCTGTGCATACCACTTTTTCGCCTATTAACTTGTACTATACACCTTTTGTGTCTCAGCAATGTTACAGTTGACATTTTTTTAGTCTAGTAGGTTAGTCCCTCCTTAGAAAAAACTACTAACCTGTACCGACAACAGGGTAAATGACTCAAGTTTGTTAAATAGGCCCATGCAATCACAATTTGGAGAAGAGACGTTCGCTAGCGGAAGCGGCCAGCTCGCAACAGGTTTGTTATTTGTAGCGCGCGAATAACAGATTTAAATTATTATTGTCCTTCTATCTTAAGAACTTTGGAGGAAATCTATGCGCAAAATATTTTTTTTAAATGCGCAGGATTATCCAACTAGTAGCGTATAAGACTACTGGCAAACATTGAGTTATACACTTACCCACAACCGGTGTGAGAAGTTAACATACCTACTATTTTTTGTGGCTTTTGAAAACAGGTCTGATTCAAGATCTGTATTAATATTTCTGATTTCTTAAACATCCATTTTATGTTGAGGCAGTGTTTTATGATTTCTGAATATATGGCGGACCAGACCTTTCTAAGATATGAAGGTTGAAACTTATCCTATGGTTCTCATGTTGATAGTCCTCGATTCTCTGGCCGCTAAGTCAAACCACATATGGCTTTAATTCCATTACAGTTTACTATGCAATCAGCCAATGCGGTTTGATATGAAAATTTGTACTTGTACTTTCAATATATATATATATATATATATAGGACTTTTGTAAGTCATGAATAAAGTACTCTTAGAATATTCCGGATATCACTTCTTGAGCAGTTGCCCCATATCTGTACACATGTAATTGCATTTCACTGTGGTAACTATCAAAATTAACGTTTCATAAAATGTAGTCGTGTATGTTCAACCCGCATTAGGAATTTTTGATATATTCGACAACCATCTTTCCGTGTATCTTATGTAGTCGTATCACATGCACATCCTTCTACTTTGCATACAATACCTTATACGCCTCCTTATTGCAGTATTCTTTTCCACTGTACTGCTTTGGTTCGCCAACCAGAACGCAGAGCAGTGACGTAGAAAGGTAAACAAAGACTTTTAGAGTCGGTTTTATTCATAGGCTTCAATGATCAACCGTTCTCTGTTATTGGAGGATCCTACAAATTGTTCAAATTTGGAAGCCATTCACAATTGTGAAAAATAATATAATACAAAACAAAAGGGGTTACTTTCTGAAATACGCATTGTGTGACCTAATCAGGCCTAACTTGTGGGAATAAGCCCCAAACAGGCTATTCAGCTTAGTCATTTAGACATATGTACATAATTTTCACGAATATAACACCAGTTCAAGCTCTCTCAACAAAATACGAAATTCCAGATCAACCGATATATGATTTTCGCCGAAATTGATATCTGATAATATCGTTATATCGGCCATCCATCTCCGTTGGTGAACGCGTTGTCTGCAATGGATCAAAATGAGTTTCCAGAAACCGATTTCGTGAAATATTTTCATTGCGTACATAGAAACTATTTTCTATAAGTTACGACTGTAGTGCTATGGATCCTAATTAGAATGCCGTATGTTTTGTAGTGTTGATCAGAAATCGGTAAAACAGTACATCACAAATACGTAGATCAGGGACTCAGCTGTGAACCTTTCAAATATAATAATTTCCTCGAAATGTCATCAAGTTCTCTTTTCCTGAAATAACTACAAAATGTTTTTAAATGTAAATGAAGATCCTTCAATCTCGTAACAATAAATTAAAATTGGAAATTACCGCTTGGGACATGAAAAGGAAGTTGTACGAAACAATTTTTCACTCCACTTTTAGGAATATATGGCTTCATGAGAGTCTGGTAATATTTCGACAAAAATTCCAATCAACCGGGTTCGAAAATCGATAGTGTAATTTGAATCCTATAAAACTAACAAAATGGGCATTATCTAGATACAACTAACGAAATGTATTCTTACTTCGATTCGATAAGTTTAAGCATAAAAACTTGTCAATGTATATCGGCTAGCTTATTCGAGTATCGGCATACGAGCAGTCATATCGACCGATAAGGTAAACGTTCCAATTATCGTCACCTTTACCACCTTACATACCCTGGGCATCATTCTAATATATTTAATAAATAAAATACCTATATCATCTTATATTCTAATTGTCAACTTGGCTAATAAAAGAGTTATCATATCACATAGTAATATTTATTTTGACCTAAAGAAAACACATCATATTTACAAAACTAATTAAATAAGAAGTGTGCTATGCCCGCATTATCGGTATCCTAAAAAATAGACGTGTTCCAGTTTTCGGCACATATAAGATCCTATTGTTGTCACAATGTTGGATAAGTAACCCAAAATATATTAACTAAGTAAATATCTAAGTAGTCGCTAATAAAATATGTTAACATTAATTTAAAAATTTTTAACTTATATTGAAATAATAAAAATGTACTTTCTAAAAATTAAACGTGAAATTAATCGTTATTAATCTGTTGGTCACTGACAAAAAGGACATTGAAATTCTTTTGTATCAGCTTCTGTTAAACCAAGACAAAACTCATGGTAGTATTTTAGACAGGAATAACAAAGGCGCATGTCCAGCTGATCGTCAGTCTCGCACAATAAGCAATACCAAGATTCCTCTGAAGGTTTTGATGTTGAAGGTTCAGTAGTTACAGGTCCATTGCCTGCATTTGTGGAAAATATTTTTTTAGTAACATTCTTTAATTTAGTTGTCGCCCTGTGATTAGAAATTCTCCTTTTAGAAACGTTTTGTGCAGCAGTAATTTTCAATTTCGTCTTTTTGTTTTCCAATTCTTTATTTTGGTCACGTTTGTTCTTTCTTTCTATTTTCAGTTGTTCTTCTTGTTTTTTCTTTTCTTCTTTTTTTGATAGTATTGTTGCCACTGAGATGAAGTTGCTACAGCAGGTACTTTATTCTTCATTGGTTTGTGCTTAGCAATATTTTCCTTAGGTGTAGGCCAAAATAAAGTTTGTTTGAATGGAGTCGGAATAGATTCATCTAAAACATTTTGTTGTAAAGGCGACAACTCTTTTTCTGAATTCGAATTTGGTTCGCCTGTAGAATCCGAGTCAATTTTAGGTGTCGGTGAGGTTTTAATTTGAGTAGTTCCCATTTGTTGAAAGTTTAGTTCCAAAAGTGAAGAATGCTGCTCTAAAGAGTTTTCTACCGGTACATCATGTTGTGCTTTGCTGGGTGTATTTGAAATTATTATGGGAATATCTTCAGCAATGCCTATCGAAAGGGATAAATTTGTACAGTCAATAATTCCTGTAACATCAATTTCATTGTTATTGTTTGCCTTCTCAGCAAATGCGCCTTTGACATTTGAGCCTGCCTGAAATTCAATATCTACTTCTAATTGATCATTTATCAATTTATTATTTTCATTGATTTCTGTGGCATCTATTTCGTTGTGAATTTCTACGTCTGTAAATGTATCTTCCATAATAAAGTCTTCTTGAATTTTATTTTCACTTTGTACTAGATCAGAAACCTCTATTGCATTGTTGTTGCTATTCACTGTTTTGATCTTCATTTTCTTCCAGAGTGAAAACAGGCTAGTGTGCTCTACTGGGCCTTCCCAAAGTGGATCGGAAAGCAGAAATAATCTAAGAGTCTCTTTTGAGGTGTATTGCTCTACACATCTTAGGACTGCTTGTGCTTCTTTAGGCTGTTCATGGTTCTCTTGTTGTTTTTGTGCTGCGATTTCCGTTTTAAAATATTTTGAAAATTATGTATTATGAACATTAAAGGGAACAAGTCCGCAGGTCCTGAAGCCATTCTTAATTATATCGGGAATATTTGTCATTTTTTGAAAAGTGCATTCCAAGATGGGCGCAAAGAAGTCTTTGGTAATCTTCTGCCCTTGGTTCTCCATTCTCCATCGGTGCACGCTCTTTTTCCATTCAAGCTTTAATGGTCGAAATACGGCCACATCTAGAGGTTGTAAAATATGTGTAGCATTTGGGCAAAGAGCTATAAGGATAATATCATTTTTACTACAAAATTTACTGAGGGCCATAGTTAGGTGGGATGTATGTCCATCCAACAACAATATAACCGGAAACTGAACTTTTTGAGCAACTAACCAAGGGTGAAATATATTAGCGATGTACTCGAAAAAGGTTTCACCAGTCATCCACCCATTTTCAGACTTTCCGATACCCCAGTTTCCTGGAACTTTTTCGAAACGGAGTTGGGAATTCTTTTGTAATTATAAACGATCATTGGCGGTAAAATTTGACCGAAGGCACTACACGTAACCAAAGTCGTCAGACATTCCTTCTCATTATTGCTCACAAATGAGTAAACTGTTCTATCCCCCTTTTTACCTAAAACTTTGTCTCCTTTGGGTGTGAGGAAAAAAGCCGTTTCATCACAATTGAATACACGACCGGAATCAAAAGTTATGTTAAGATTGTTTGTGTTTTCTAAGAAGGTCCCTACTTCTATAAACCACTGACGAATGCGGTTTTCTGTTAGGCTGTTTCTAGCACAAGTGAGGTTTTGGGAAATCCTTGAAGCCAGTTCTGGGTGCCTTTTTAAAAATAATTCGTACCATTTCCGTCCAGGCCTGCCATCTGCGAAATTATTGGCCTACCCAATTCTTTAAGCAAGAGCTGAAAACTATCTAACAACTGTGTTTTTGTTGCTGGAAATCCATATGCTGCAATCCGAAATAACCATTCCACCAGTAAATTTTCTTCTTCCCTGGTTAGTATGGTTCCTGGTCCACATTTCTTGTCTAAAAGTGTTCTTCCTTTTACTTTGTCCTGTAGGGTCGATCTGGGTACGTTGTATAACTTGCTAGCTGCTTTAAATGGCATTCCTGACTGAACAGCGTTAACAGCTTTATTTATATCTTCGGTAGAATATTGAAGTCGTTTAAGCTTGTCCATTGTGATGTAATTTTAATCTGAAAAAAAGAATCTCCAATTATCGACACCTTATGTTCATATTATCGGCACTTTTATTAAACCTCAAATTTAAGCTAATTCTAGTAGATATATAGAGTGTCGAAAATTGGTGTGACATCTCATCGATGTATGCTGCATATAATAACCAAACATTTTTCATGATAAATTAAGAGCTGAAGCTAAAATTGACCTAAATCCAGTCCAATACGTATAACCAATTATCGGCATATCTGCCGAAGATTAGATCATCAATTATTGTTTTTTACTAGCAAATAACAAAAATAATAATTCCTAAACATATAAAACTTAATCAAACATTTACACGAAACGTCTATCAACACGATAATGGCTTACCTGTTTCTTAACACTTGCAACAAGAAACACTTCAGACAAGAGTTTGGCGCGAACTGACCACTATATTTTTGACTATGGTTATTACCGAAATTGGCCGACAGTCTTTCGGTTCTGCAGAGGCGTAGACAAAGGTTCGCAGAAATTGGTGAAATAGTTTCATCCAACAATCTTGCGATAGAAATCTTATTTTTCGGGATTATGTAGAATTTGTGCCGATAAAAGGGGTAGTGCCGAAAATAGGGACGTTTACCTTATGGCCGATAAGCCGATATGAATATCGGTTCCCTAGTTCCATCTCCACTGAACATGGGTCAGCTCTACTTCTCAAGCCGCCATTGAGTAGTTGTGATCTTGGTGACTCTACCATTGTCACTTTAGTTATTAGTCCTAAGTCTACAAATTTACAACATCTTGTACTTGCAGCTTGATCCGGGTATCACATAGAAAAGGTTCATACCAAAATTTGGGCCTCCTGTGGTTTGTGAAGTTCCATCCTACGAGGCAGACGAAATACCTATGGGAAAAAAGCTCAAAAGCTTTGCGCAAATTGTATGCGAAGAATCATCCTTCTTAGTCAAATTATAGCACATGGCACCCACACCAGGTATCTATAACTGCATTCCACCTCCACCATCTTGGCCAATGCACTCACCAGACACGGCATCTATAACGGTTTCTGAAAATGGCGACCAAACTGCATGATGATTGCGGAACCGTAATCGTGCGGATTGCATACAAATTCTTCCTAGCAACTGCAGCAAAAACAAACCAGTGCTGTTCCCATCCACATTTTACAGAATAAAAAAAAACGACCGACTAATGTCTGTGAAAAACGGTTCGTGACGTTACCCGACAGTTGCGTCCGTCGGGTTTGTATCGTATTGCACATTAAAATGTTATTGCCTTACAGCATGCAACCAGGCAGTAGGCGTTGACATATCTGCACGAAGTCTCCTCCTTCTTTTGTTTTCCGATAATTAATTATTTTTTCGAGTAATGCGGCATCCGTGTAATCTATTTAGATCAGTTGTATTAGATAGCTGCATAGTCAAATATACTGCTGTTTAGTAACTCCGCCTTGATAAACTGACAACTTTGGTTCGCTAGATGATTGACAGTTGCAAACGCACGGAATTTTTATTGTGAATTGTATGTCTGTAATATAGCTTTCGTTCGTTCTACCACTGGTGGCTAACCATGGATAGTTATTCCGTGCTCGCTGGCAACTCATCAGCATGGTCTAGGCTTGGTATCAGGTAGTACAATGAAAGCTTAGCAAGTGCTCTTTATCCAGGATATGAGGTCTATCGAAATAAGACAGCACAAAGCGACATCTATCACTACTAATGGCTTGTCTGGCTAATAATTGAAACTGTAAGAGTTTAAAGAGCGGTAGAAGCTGGAATAATATTAATACAGCTCATTTCAATGACAGAATTGCAGTAGGTAATTCGCAAGTTTATACAAGGTATATTGTCAGGGCTCTACATAGATCTAGCGTCCCAAATACAAATTCTAATTGCATATTCAAAAACATTGTGTTATTTCTATCTTTTTTTCTCACTTTGCGTTTTCCTATTTGTGACATGTTTTAAGTACTCGTACGATCCTCGTATGTGGCAGCTTTAAAAAATTTAAGCCTGTTTTCGAGCTACAGATATCATCGTACGAATAAAAATATTTTTTTGTATTCACAAAGAAACTTTAGTGAAAAATACAGGTTTTTACCATTACAAAAGTAAATTTTCAATTTTTCGGAAAAGCACGCTTCTGCGATTGCAATTCATGCTATAAGTTGAATATCTATATAAAACCTTGAAAATTGTTGCAGAGAAACATGTGGAAGCTTCAACCCGCGCTTGTTGAGAAATTACAAGAAAATCAAAGACGTTATTGTCATAACTTGAGACTTGCCAAGTTGAATAGAAAGTCTAAATATTTCTTTACGTTATATTAACCATTTACGATTTCAAAACATCATAATCATGAAGGTTGGATATACCATCTCCATGATTTTTTTGGACAGTCACTGTTTTTTGAATCATCTTCTCTATGAGCAACCATCGTAGGTAAAGTTGGATACATTCATAAAAACCCAGGTTAGAGAAGCACATACAGACAACTGGCTGTGCTACACCAGAACTTCTTCGTCAATCGCTCTTCATTTTTTTTTTCGTTTTTTGACGGTTCAGGGATTCCTGATCATTTCCAGACAAAAAAATTGTAGTGGTTGAGAAAATCAAAGACGTTATTGTCATAACTTGAGACTTGTCAAGTTGAATAGAAAGTCTAAATATTTCTTTACGTTATATTAACCATTTACGATTTCAAAACATCATAATCATGAAGGTTGGATATACCATCTCCATGATTTTTTTGGACAGTCACTGTTTTTTGAATCATCTTCTCTATGAGCAACCATCGTAGGTAAAGTTGGATACATTCATAAAAACCCAGGTTAGAGAAGCACATACAGACAACTGGCTGTGCTACACCAGAACTTCTTCGTCAATCGCTCTTCATTTTTTTTTTTTTCGTTTTTTGACGGTTCAGGGATTCCTGATCATTTCCAGACAAAAAAATTGTAGTGGTTGAGAGTCAGAGGTTGTAGAGGATACGAGGCAGTAAATGTTGCAATTTTAATATCAGTGAAACACGTTTAATTATTTAGAAATTTGTGATCCCGGGAGTATTACCTACCTATTCGACAATATCACATAATATTTACGCTGATTCTAGCAGCACCAGCTACGATGCGATGTAGTGCTACCAGGGCCTACAAAAGATGTTCAGATATATCAATCATATTTTATAACACTACCAGCGGTAAAAGTTTTCATGGCGGGCCAACAGTAAAGACATCAGAACGTAGAGGGTGTCTCAACAAGAGCATTGGATTTGAATTTGCCGCCAGTTTTTGTACAAATGGTATGGTGTTAAACTTGATGACAGCTGTCATGTCCAGATCACGCGGTTAGGCGTCATGGAGCAGTATTCAAACGAGCAACGTTCAATTATTGTGAAAACTCACCTCTGAAATGGAGAAAATTACGTATAATTTTCGGTCGCAATAATGCGCCAAATGAGTCGACAGTTCGCCGTTCAATTACAAAAATTGAGACAAAATTATTCTTGCTGATTGTAAAGACCACTGTTCGTTGCCATTCTGGTTGGTCCTTCGAAAATATGGTCGCAGTGCGGAAAAGTGTGGCCGAGAATCCAGGCACTTCCATTCTGCATCGTGGCCAAGACTTTAACATTACCAGACCCACTCTGGTTGTATTGACAAAAGACCTGTGCTTGCATGCATACGAGGTTCAACTGACGTAAGAACTCAAACCAACGCACCATGCGCAGCGCCGTGAATTCGTTGATTGGGCACTGGAGCGCCACCAAATTGAAGCGGATTTCTCAAAGAAAATAATTTTCTTGATGAGGTACATTTTCAACTGAACGGGTATGTCAAAAGCAGAACTTCCGAATTTGGGGTTCTGAAAACCATCGTGTAACAGTCCAACAACCAATGCATCCGTTGCGAGTTACCGTTTAGTGCGCATTGTGGAGTATTTCTTCGAAAATGCAGCTGGAACTGCGGTAACTGTTAATGGTGTGCGGTATCGAGAAATGTTAACCGTGTTTTTGGGCCCCAGTTGGATCTAATTGATGTGGAGGATATGTTGTTCCACACAGCACGCGAAACAATGGTGTTACTGCAGACCAAGTTTCCAGACCGTATCATCTCTCGGTTTGGTGATCAAAATTGGCCACCAAGATCGTGCGATCTAACGCCAATGGACTTCTTCTGGGGCTATGTAAAGGAAAAGGTGTATTCGAACAAGCCTCAAACAACTGAACGCCTTAAATAAGAGATACCGAGCGTTATCGACGAAATCGAGCCACAGTTGTGCGAAAATTTTATGAAAACACTGACCCTGTGCCAGAGGTTTCGTGGTGGCGGTTTGCCGGATGTCCTATTTCATATTTAATAGCAACTACTCCTCTTCACATGTAAATACTCCCTTAATTCAAAAAGAAATGGTGTTTTCCTTGGAAATCAAATCCGGCGCTCGTATTGAGACACCCTTTATAAAAGGTGATACAGATACAAGGTATACATGATGCATATTATTCAAAGATTATGATTTTATATTTTTAAGTCAATAATACTGTTTTTCATCGCTACACATTCTACTTTGCGGCTTTATCAACGTAAATGGATTTTCATAGCCTTCTAATAAAAAAATATGGCCTTTCTCACGCATATCCAATACGTTTCGACCCCCGTAGTCAAAAACTGTGTAACTTGTTCTGTTCCTACCTAACGTGAAGTATAGTCAGGATCATTGGCATTAATTTTGCTTGCAGTGTTTTTCTTGTGTGTGAAGGTACTACTCTAAATAAAACCCAACTAACAATTATCACTCCTATTAGAGTTGCAAAAATGATTATACAGTAAGAACATTGGCAAAACCCTCTTAGAACAGCTATACAAGCGGAATGGGCACACCTAATAGGACACTTCAGTCATTTAAGAGGTTGTATAAGGGCTGCAGGTAACATTTATACAACAAAAGTGTAAGCCCCTTGCAGCCGCTATAGGACATTTGCGTCAGTGCAAGATTCAGTTT